ATATTCTACTAAGTTAGTTTATTTCTTCTTTATAGTTCATCATTTAAAAAAATAATTATATTCAATTAAAATGAGTGCATCGCTTAATGATGTTCGTATCTGGATGACACGATATCTCATGAGTAGTTATTTAACACTTGGTCTACTTGGCAATCTAATTAATATATTCATGTTTACACGAAAAAATCCTTTACGAAATTCATGTAGTTTATATCTTCTTACAATATCAATAGCTCATATTTTCAATGCCATTGTGGGCGTCGTTCCAAGCATATACAATTTAGATAACGTGGATCCATCTTTATATTCATATATTTTCTGCAAACTTCGTGTTTATACGCAACACTCTGTAATTATGTTTAGTCGAACATTATTGGTCATTGGATGTATTGATCGATTTGCATTATGTTCAAATAACCAACGGTTTCGTTCACTTAACAATCCAAAAGTGGCACTTCGAATTATTATTGGACTTTTAATTGCATGGCCATGTATTAATATATATATTCCATTAGTAACAATATATACTGTAAATAGTTGTTCAATGGATAGTTTATCTGCTCTTATTTGGGGTATTTATACTGTTATAATACCAGGTATTCTTACGCCATTATTAATGAGCATATTTAGTATATTGGCTATTCGAAATCGTCATCAATTACAAGAACGACTTAATGGTAGCAGAAATAATACTCATAAACGTGATTATACACTTATGATTATGTTATTGAGTGAAGTATTGGTTTATGTTATATGTACAAGTCTCTTTCCGGCAACAACTCTATACAAAGCAGTTACAATTAATATAGTCAAAAGTGTTCAACGACAACAGATCGAAAATTTCATAATATTTTTGGGCAGCACTTTTTTACCCTTTATTGTTCCATCTTCAACATTCTATATCTTCATTATAGCTTCACATAGTTATCGACAAGAATGTAAGAGAGCTTTCTTACGTTTATACATGCGCCTAACTAGACGTACGAATAGAGTATCGGCATTTGCAGGAACAAATACATTAATTTATCGACATAATGAAACTCTTATCTAAAACATTGTATTTTCATATTCATATATGACAGTGAATTTTTCTTTTTTTGTTGTACAAGCACAATAAATATATTTTAATGCATGCACATTTGTTTTCTTGCTTTTGATGTATATGTAACAGTAATCAAACTTTATAGTTTCAAAAATATAAAGGTGTGAGTTAACATAAGATGAAGTCACACCCACATTTCCTCTCATTACTTTTGATTTTGCTCAAACTAACACAAGACAAAACAATGAGAATAGCTTGAAAAAAAACCATCAAGTAATGCTCATTTCTAATGATGAAAAAAAAAAGATTCTTTAGATGAAGATGAAGAAATTCCACAATAAGAACCATAGGATCGAAAATCTAAAACAGTTAATGATGTCACACCAGTTATAGATAATAAATGTCAATATTTTACAGGCAAAGAGTATTTGAATTTTTACGAAAAAAGATTTGATGAAGATTTTCATTGTATTTCATAATGATTCACATCAATGCTTTGTGATATTATGTATTTAAAAATAAAGTTTCTTCGATTTTAAAATTAACTTTTACACCGATTGCACAAGATACTCTCATTAAGAATAATATACTTGATGGATTTTTTTTTCGTTATATAACTCATACTAAGATCAATAAGGAAAATTTTCGAGTTGATGCTCTATGATTATTATTACTTGGATTTTTCAAATGTTCATATAATTCATGCTGTTCTTTATTTTACTATGAGATTAATTAATCAAGGAGCAATATCCTTTTATCAAAGATTTAAAGTCAATGGTAAGTTTTTTGTTATTACCAACAGCAAAGTTAAAATTACACTATGTCGAAAAACAATTATTTATGGATAACTTGAGTGTGTTCAAAGAACTGAACACAAAATGAATTGAATTTAAAGGTACTAAATTTTTTGAGACTCAAAAATTTTTCATATACTCTATGAAATGAATCATACGGAAATGATTATTAAAATGCACTATGAAGGTATGGGTAAGTGTTGATATCGGTTTGGTTGTGGATTTAGTATTGCTTTGTAACTGTAACGACGACTCACCCACAACAACAGCCACATGAACGCTCATATTCTTCAGTTCTTCATTAAGAATATCTTTCAATGTTTGTTACTTTTTCCCAACTCGTACAATGTAAAAACTCAAATAAAATAATCTAATGAATTTTACTCAATAATATTTATTTACTTATTCTCTTTATCAATCAAAGTTAGAAACCTATTATAACATCATTTTAGCTGTAATTGATAAATTCAAGCTTTTGCACTATGCTGTTCCATACTTTCTGAAGGCCTTAATGCTTTGTTTAATGCTATTGAAGTGGCTTTTGATTGCATTAAGTCTCATCTATTCCTCCTTGATCGAAAATAACCACCGCTGAACGATAAGATATTTCAGCCGGACATCTGAAATCTCGTATCCATTAAATAGCTCTCTAAAGTTGATCGACAAAGATAATTAGCAATCAGATTTTGTAAATCTCAATGGATTAGACCATACGATTTGGGTCAAACTCATTCATTGTATCAGTTGACGAAAGGTAATACCAGGTGACACTCTTAAGGAAGAACTGAAGTATTCTGTCCAAATTTTTGGATAAAAAAGCGATTTTAGACTATTGATCACCTTGACTCATCCATTTCAAAAATATTTTGGAAAATGATGAATATCATTTACATCAGTAAAAAGAAAATAATACTTCGTAGAGAAGGGTGTGGGTGTGGATGGGTGTGGAGTGTGGGTGTGGGGGCGTGGTGTGGGTGCAGATCTTCTCTTCATTCATGACCACACCGACACCCCACACACACCCACACCCACACCCTCAAAACAAATTATATAGCTTCAGTTTTCTGCATTTGTTACGCTATTAATATCAGGAGTGAAACGCTTATCGTAGTCCTAGCATCAGCCTAAGTGCAGAACTCACTAAATATATAACATTCATTTTTCCGCGTCACGTCTTTGTAAATAGTGAATGATATATAGAACAACGCGCGCTATGTTAAGTTCCATTTGATACATCCTTGTCTGATGAAATATATATCTAATGTGTACAACATTATCTATTTGCATAGTTTCAGACATCCCGTTCTCGAAATCATGGCAATAGAAACTGATAACTTTCGATACGTATGTCTCGTAGGTAAAAACAAAGAAAGCTCGTAAAAGACTTCATGAATGCGGTACGAAATGATCTCAGGTTTCTGCAACGGGATTTGAATTAATATAAGAACGATAAACGATTTCACCTAGAGTTGATCTTGTTCTGTCAAAAGTTTTCATTATTGTTCCTGCTCAAAACAGTCGACTGAAGACTAATTCATCACCTTTTACTGAAAATGAACGACGAATCATATTGAAGATTCAGAAACTTTTATATCATCTCGAGACATGGATCTCTAGCAAAACACATGTAAAGTATGGAGACCAAATGCGTACATCATTGAATACATAAACTCAGAAATGAATATTTTAGTTTTTTGTTTCGAATCAATCTAGAGGACTCTGTTTGAGTTTCAATCACTATGGTTTTTCTTTGCTAATATCGATTTTCTTATTACATATTGGTCGAATTAACTTCGTAAAATCATGTCGATAACTTGACACCAGTATGAATTGATAGGATATACTATATGCATTAAGTTTAAGTCAATAATCTGACAGATGTTTCTCACTGAAAAAAACTGCTCTATTTATGAAGGAAATATACTTATATGAGCAATGTTTTTTTTAAAATAAATAATGCATACAAAATCTTAAAAAGGTCCAACTTGATCCATTATCGTTATCAGTTACAAATTAAAGCTGTACGAGACCAAGTTTTTTAGTACTGACGATGATCTTGGTTTTCATATAGAGAAACCTATTTCAAGGTTTATTCATATCATGTCTAAAAAATTTATCAATAGTTATTTTTTCTGATTCATTTAGTCGAGACTAGCACTTTTTAGGTCATCTCTATTGACTTATGCGACAATACGCTTAAAGATGAATTTAATATAATTAGATATAAAACTTTCGCGCTTTCGCATGCTAATAAAACTTTTGCGTTTCTTCTTCGTACTTTTTTTTTCTATTGTATGTCTACATCAAATAAACGTTTTTTTGACGATATTGATCTATTTCAACAATATTTCATTAGTTCGCCTTCATCAGTTAAAAAACGTCTTTGTATTCCATTAGTACCAAGTGTACCTCGAGGTGGTACAAATTATATAGATAAATTTATTCTGAATCGTTCAACATCATCAGATAACAACTTAAGTACAAACAATTTATTATTTTATTCAGAAGAAATGATAAACGAAACTAATGAGTAAAAATTAAAAACATATAAAATTATTATCATCATATATCGAATGATATTGAAAAATTTCAATAATATTATGCGCTTAAAAAAAAATATGATTTCACGTTTTTTGTTTTTTTTTTTCTATATTTATTTATTAACTCGTCTATATGAATAACAAAAAAAAGAACAATTTAACTATAAATATTTATGCTGATGATCAATTAAGATCATCAAATACAAAAAGTCATACAATAAAAATTGAATTAAGTTCTATATATATGTTATATCCACAATTATTCGATGTTAAATATCTACCATCAGTACCTGTTTGTTATAAACAAGAAACTTTAAATAAAAATCTTGATCGAAAAATTGAAACAACCTTTGAATAGAAGATTTATTTAATTATATATTCTCGTATTGAATCAATAAAAATGAAAATAATATAATCAGTTTTATTTGTCTTATACTATGTAAGCAACATGAAATGATTGTAGTTGTATTAGTTAAAACAAGACGTTCTTTTCTTTTTTTTTTTTTGTTCTTCTTGGGTGTCTTTCATTTTTTTTTTCAATTAATTTTTTTTTTTTTGATGGTATTATTGTCGTATGCCGTTGTTAACAACACAAACACTAGAAATACATCAGAGATTATACATGAAATCAATTGAATCTGTGTAAGAAAAAAAAAACGAACGAACGAAATATATTTATCATGAGTCAAGTTCAAATTCGACAACTATCATCAAAACCTTTGACAGATAATCAAGAAATTATTGGTTCATGGGTAAGAAATGTTATTCAATAAGATTAATTATTTAGTTATTTGTTTTTTTTTTCTATATGTGTACAGTTTCCAACTGGTTATTATGGTCATTTTAGAGCTAAATCACGTATTGATTTATGTAATGATTTTCGTCAACTTGCTCGACCTAATCCACCTAAAAAGTTCTTAGATCGACAAAATGTAAAACAGATCTTTATTTTTTTGGAATATCTTTCTTTTTCTATCTTAGTCTGACGTTAATTCACATATGTTTTCTCAACATGATAATCGTTTTAAATTTGAATGTGATCCACTTGTTCGAAATACTCAAAGTGTAAGATAAATATGAATTTTCGTTTTTTTTTTCGGTTATAAATTATTCTGAATATTATTTATTCAAAGGGTTTTGGTAGACGAAAATTAAAAACAAATGTACAAGGTAAATTTGATCCATTTTTTATTAGTTGGATACCAGAAAATATTGATCATAAAAATTATATTGATGATATTAAAACAACTTCATATGCTAATGATTTTAATTCAAATTTAAAATCATCACATATTTTATATAAATCAAAATCAATTAATTCACCATTAGCTTCAAATAATCTTAGTGTTTATTCAACTATTTTTAATCATGGTCAACCAGATGAACAACAATCAAAACAAATTCAACAAGAAACATTTCAAAGATATTCAGCAAATTTAATACGTCGTTCACAAATACAAAATAATGAACGAAGTACAAATGTTGCTTCATGTCTTATATGGAATAATAAAAATAATAAGAATGAGTCTACTAAAATCAATAATCTTATGTCTACTTCATTAGAATTTCCTAGATCTGATATGTCAATTATTAAACAACAACAAAAATCATATCAAAATCAATCTATACCAATGTTGAAAACTATGACGCAGTCAAATTTCAATGCCAATACATCACAAGACTATTGTCATAATCGACCATTTCAACAAGCTACTTCATTTGGACGAACACGTACTAACGGCATGGAACATCTTATTACAAAATATATGTAACAAGAATAATTTTTCATGAATAAATTTAAACTAATCAATAAATTTTCTTTTTTGTTGTTTTGTCTTATATACACAGAATTATTTACTTCAAATGTTTAAATTGAATATGATAGAACATTACTGAGAGTACGTTTTGAAAATTTCTCAACTTGACAATGTAACTGAAACGAAGACACATACATGCATTCTAATTATTATCTTATTACAGTATTTGATTTTTTGATTGTAGAAAAAGAAAAGATTATGCTTGTACGATAAGAACATTATTTTTAAGATCAATAAAATTATATTTTAAAACGAGAAAATTTTTAGAAGTCTTCACTTCAGTTTCTGAAATTTTCTTTGATATGCCTTTGATTTTGATAATTAAATTCTTCAATATTATCTAATTTATATTAAATTTCATTAGTTAAATATTTTTTTGTTGTTGTTGATGAAGTATTAGTGCAACTAAACATCTTGAAAGAACAAGATTAATAATTGCATTTCATGTTGTTTAAAAAAATGAAAAGAAGAGAAGTGTTGTTATTGTTAAAAGCATTTCTTTTTTTTTTTTCATTCCATTGTTCGAATGTAAAAAACTAAAAAGCTCATCGATTTTTCCTTGACTAATTTTTATTTACTAAAATTCTTTTGATTTCATATGAATACAAGAAAATCATTTGATCCAAATATTTAATTCATTTTGTTTGCATATATTATTATATCAAATGTTTTATTAAGAATATTTATGATTTATATTGGTATAAACTGAGATGGATAGAGCAAAACTTATTTTTTTCTATTACATGTTTTACTTCGATCTTAGAATCTTGAATAGCTCTGATTTTTTTAAGTAATCGATTACAATAGTTAAAATTAAGTATAAATTCTTTTAGAAAGTCCAATAAGTCATTGAAATTGATTGAAAATAATTGGACTAAAAGCTCTTCTAATGTCAATATGCAAGAAAATATTCTAAAATGTTCACTATTCGAAGATGTTTTGTTTATCTTGTCATAAATTTATTTCTCCGTGCGTTCTTAAATATTTATATGTATGAAGAACTACTACTAAGGAATACAAAATTGATTTTCAAATCGAAATTCACTATTGACTTCAAGACATTGTTAAATAATCTAATATGGAAAATGTCTATTCTTTAATTTGAAATTCGTGTTTCATGACTTTATATCTAATGTCCTCTAAGAATAAATGAGACTTTCAATCTCAAATGAATCCTTATGGTAAGAAATATTTGAAAATCTTGGTGCATTGAAATCAAACAAAAAAAAGCTTATTATATCTAATGATATACGTATGGCTTTATGTGAAATTTCAAGATTTCTAAAATTTTCGACACTCATTTATCTTGTTTTTATGATCCCTGTTGATGTTTATATTACTGCTCTTCTTGTAGCTTTCAAAAGAGTAAAGTCCCTATCGTATGAAAATAGAAAAACCAAATTATAAAGTACGATAAGGAAAGGAACAAGCCCGCTGATAGACAAATAAAGGTCATAGATATCAGAGATGGACAAAGTCGCACCGCGCCGTTGCTCACGCCTACGCTACACTAGTCTAAGCTTCGATGAGCGCATGCTTAGAGCATCCCGGTATTCGGTGGAGTTTGAGAAACTGATTGGTTGAGCAAAGAGAAAGAGAGATGTGCGTAGCGCGGGGAGGTGCGGTGCGATTTTGTCCATCTCTGATAGATATCATCATCATTCACTATAAATTTGAGTTTTTTTTTTTTCGCTCGACTAGTAAAGTTCTAATGCACACCAATGGACGTTATTCAAATCTTTGACTGCTCTTCTTTTTCTTTACTGAACGTTTTCTACTTCCGATGTAAAAATCAAGAAATTCTTAACATCCTTAGGCGACCTCTTTTCTTGCAACTTCTAATTCGTTAGATTATGTGTCGGTCTATATGAGTCATGTAGTCATTAGGGCATAGCTGTGTGTGTCGTCGGCCAACCGACCGCACCCATTGTGTTTAAATGTATCTACACGTTATTTGTTTGTTTATTTCGCATTTTTTTGAAAGGCACATGGTTATATTATATATAATAAAATAATAATTTTCTTTTTTTTTTTTAATAATAAGATTTTTCAATAATGAATTAATCATATTTTATTGTAGATAGATACGCACAAAGAGGTGATTCGTGAAAAAAATTACTTATTGTTTATTCTTTCATAGAGAATTTTGAAATAAAAAAAGAAAAAGATTCATTTTGTCTATGATTCATTTTTTCTTATTGAAATTCAAATTAAGGAAACAACTATAGATGGGTGATAGGAGAAAATTACAGGGTAAATTATTTTATTTTTATTTAAAATTTCATAAATAAATATATACTCTTAGGTGAAATTGAACGTTGTTTAAAAAAAGTAACCGAAGGTGTTGAAACATTTGAAGATACATGGCAAAAAGTATACAAAGAAAAACTCTAATATTTGACAAATCAAATTTAGTTTTTTTGTTCAAAGGTACATACAGCACCTAATCATAATCAAAAAGATAAATATGAACAAGAATTAAAAAAAGAAATAAAAAAATTACAACGTTTACGTGATCAAATTAAAGCATGGATATCATCAACAGAAATTAAAGATAAAAAATCTTTACAAGAAGCAAGAAAAAATATTGAACAAGTTTGTTATAAAAAAAAAACAAATAATCAAAAATTTCATTTTTATTTTGTATTGATAGCAAATGGAAAGATTTAAAATAGTTGAAAGAGAAACAAAAACAAAAGCATATAGTAAAGAAGGTTTAGGTGCTGGACAAAAATTAGATCCACAAGAAAAAGAAAAAGAAGAATGTAATCAATGGATTAGAGTAAAAAAAATAAATAATGAACGAATAGTTTTTTTTTTTTTTAAGAATTTTCTTTTCTTTTTTATAGGAAGCAATTCAAGAATTAAAAATTCAAGTTGATAAATTCGAAGCAGATATTGAAACATTATCTGCATCTTTAAAAAAGAAAAAATCTGATAAAGATGTAAGTTTATTTTGTTTTTTATTGATAGATTTTGAAATTTTATATATAGTCTAGAAATAAAAGTAAGTGTTACTGATCTTTTCTTTTGTACTTTATCAAAGTCCGTGATATATACAGTGGTGGCAAAAATTATTCATACGATTTTGTTTTAATAATAACTCAACATCACATCGGTATTTTGAGATGCGGAAAACGGTAAAAGAACCGCCATGACCTCTAGTATCTACGCTATAAATATCAAAGCGTTTGACTTATATGCGTTGGAGATATTACTAGATTACTGGGAAAACAAGGTAATTTGTTGGCAAAAATTATTCGTACGACCATTTTTTCTGAGAGCCCTGAATCGATCAAGATAGGGGCAATCGACCACGTTGAGTAGAATGGCGATGTTTGTTTTTAGATTCAAAGTGATCTGAGGTCACTAAATCAACTTTCAAAATGTTCACTATATACTCAATATAATGACAAAATTTTGGAATTTCGAAAATTGATTTAGAGACCTCAAATCACTTTGAATCTGAAAACAAACATCATCACTCGTCTCGGTGCGGTCTATTACCCATATCCTGATCGATTTAGAACTCTCAGGAAAATGCTTCTAGCTCCTGTTTGATAAAAATCCTATAATAGTAATATGGCAATATCTTCAACGTGTTCAAGTCAAACGATTTGATATTTGGAGTTTAGATACTAGAAGTCATGATGGTTCTTTTGCCGTTTTCCGCATCTCAAAATACCGATGTATTGTTGAGTTATTATTAAAACAAAATCGTACGAATAATTTTTGCCGCCACTGTATATACTTAGAGCAAACCAAAAGTTCGTAGAACGGTTTTAAAGAACCTTGTCGGATAAGGTAACCTATTCAGAAATGAAAACCCAAATATACCATGTTGTAGAGCTTTTTGAGGCGCATCGAATGGTATATAATAAATCCTGTTTTCATAAGACTTTGAAGGAACTAGAGTCAATTTACTGATAGACGACTACGCACCCATACTCACACTGACAAGATGACTGGAGATGCTACATATATGAGGTTGTAGCCCGTCAAAAACTCTGCAAAATCGTATGTGAGAAAAAATATTTTACAAATACTTTCGACTAATCCCAAGGACCACAATATTCAGTAACCTATCATACTTAGGTGAGGGTGTGAGTATGGGTGCGGGAATGTTTCAACTCGTCATGTTTTTTCTTGTCTGGCTTTCGTAACGATTTGACAGTACGAAAGCCCGTGACCGAGCTTTCATAACGACAGAATCAGGGGTTTCATAACAAATTTTACAGGGTGATCGTAATTGGTGTTTTAATATGTACCATTACAGAACTTTCGTAACGAAAAGCATGTAATTTCTGCAAACTAAGTCCAGCTATCACCCTCATCCTCATTACGAAATCCCTGTTGCTTCGTTGCGAAAGCTCTGCAGCTGTTGCGAAGTCCCTGTATTAATCGTTACGATCGCCCTGTAAATTTCGTTACGACATCCCTGTATTTTTGGATATCCCTATTTTTGATGTTACGAAAGGTCTGATTTTTGCTGTTTGTTCAACTCGTCACGTGACGAGTTGAAACGTTCTCATGGATGCGTAGTCCTCTCAGTAAATTGACTCTAGTTCCTTCAAAGTTTTATGAAAACAGGATTTATTATATACCATTCGACGCGCCTCAAAAAGCTCTACAACATGGTATATTTGGTTTTTCATTTCTGAATAGGTTACGTTATCCGACAAGGTTCTTTAAAACCGTTCTATGAACTTTTGGTTTGCCCTAAGTATATATATATTCAAGATTTTAGCAATAAGTACGCTTTTATTCAATCCTTCGATCATCTTAGGAAGAACTCTTCAACACATATTCTTAATGTTGAAGAAGATATCATAATTATTTTAAAGTGATTTTATAGCGACATTTCAGATTAGAGATAGCTACGACATCGAGCCTGAAAAATGAGAGATTGGATGAAAATATATGTGACAACATGACTGAGATAAGATGATCACACG